CGGGCGGGGTGGGCAGGTTTTCACCGTTTCTCTTCCGTGGCGGAGGCGGGTGGGGGACCAGGAAGGACCCTGCCGCTCGGACTTTCGCGAAGTTTTGACTTTAAAGATTTGACAAACTTGAGAGTTGCTTCAGACGGCGTTTTCTGAGTTTGGAAACGTAGGTTTTGTGGTTCTGATGGCGTTTGCGTTTGATCGGTCTGTAGACTCGCCGTGTTAGTGTAACTATACTGGTGAGGAAAGAGAAAATAAAGATGCAGGGTGTTGTGCAGACATTCCTGCAAATGGAGAGCTTCTGGGGTCAGGAAAAAGCGAAAACTGCGGGGATCCTGGAAAGAGCCGTCGGGCGTGCGCCCCGCAGACAGGCAGGGTCGTTTCTCTGCTGATGGGCGGCGGCGGGATGCGATTTGACTGCTTTATCCAGCGTTTGTCGGACTTTGCTAGTCTCTAAAGTTGGATGTGGGCAATGAATGAGAGCCTTGCCAGAAGATTTAGAAAGTGGTTGGTTTTGGTGTTAACCATGGTTTTGTTTCTTTACAAATAGGAACCCTTTGGCTGTAGTAATAATGTGCCTTGTGTTTCTCGAAGAGGTCCTGGGGTGTCGCCCCGTTTTCAACTTTCCTTGTGAACTATACTTTGTTGGATAAATTAATGGCAAGTTGAATGATTTGCACGGGGGTGGGGAGGATTGAATCTTCACATAACTTTTGAGAATGTCTTTGAAAAAGTCTTTTTAAAAAATCCGATGGTTTGTTTTCTTACGTTGTTAAACGTTTAGATTTCTATGGTAAAGTGTGAGTTTTGTTTCAAGTAAACGCATTTTGGCAAGATTTGGGATTTAAAGATTGAAATTTATTTTGCACAATCTAGGCATGTTGAGCTAGCTCTAAAATAATGTTTTAGAAGCTATAATTTTGTACCCTATGGAAAGAAGTGAAAAGGAACTACAATTTATGATGTGCTTGCTATTTACAAGCATGATGCTGAGTGCTTAACTGTCATTTACTCTTACACAACTCGGTGAAGTAGACATTATTCCAGTTTTACGGGTAAAAAAAAAAATCGAGGCACAGAAAAGTTAGATGTCTGCCTTATGTGAAATGGCAAATTTTGCAATTTGGATTTGAATTCAAGTATTTCTCACTAAAGCCCAGTATCTTGCTCTGGTAACAGTTATTTTGCAAGAAGGAGTTGTTGTATCTGTAAGGTACTGTTACAGTGTGAATCCACACTGCATACATATTAAGACTCTGAAAAGTTTTTATTTACGTGCTTTGATAACTAGTGGTCCTTTTGGGTAGATGTGAATACTAAAATAATAGTTGGCCACAGTGGGTGCCCTTGCCCTCTCTGCCAGGCATTATTTTAAACATTTGATTTATTAATTTGTTTAATCTTTATAACCTTATGAGGTTTATCTTATTCTGTCCCTATTTTACAGGCTTTTAAAAATGGAAACAGAGGGCCAGGGATTTAGCTCAGTGGTTCCAGCGCCTGCCTCGCAAGCGCAAGGACCCAGAGTTCGATTCCCCAAACAAACAAAAAATGGAAACAATTTAAATTGTCTAAAGTGACACAGCTAGTAAATGGGGGAAGTCGGATCCAAACACAGGTATTCCGGCCAGAAACCTAAAGGCTTAATGCTGGTTGATACTGCCTTTTATGTAACTGGACATGTACAGTAGTCGCCTTAAAAGTCTTAAAGTGTAAATGTTCTCGTTGTGGGGAAGTCAGTGTCCCATCTGGATAGGGTGATTGTTGACATAGCACTTTTGCTTTTTGGAGGTAGAACTTGAATTAAGTCTTGAAGTTGAATAGATTCTCCTAGATGGAGAGACAGCTTAGGATATGACAGGAGCTAGAAGCTCAGAGTGCAAGATCAGTGTTGATTTGTAAATGTGCCACAGAAATAAAAATGTCAGAAGGACAGTGATAGGCTCAGTGCACACTGCTCCTGTGTATCTATGACCAAGTGTTGGCAACACTGTAACTAATCCAAATTGGGAATTACCTGAATGTAACCTTTTGATGGGAGTAGCCACACTTTGTAGCAGGCCAAATAGTAAGTATTTTGGGGTCAGAGCAAGGAGGCAAGTGGTAAGAGGTGACCTGTGAGAGGTGGGTAGAGCCCTTAAGGACTTTGCAAGGCATAGAAGGAGTTTGGAATTTATTGTGTAATGGTTATGGAAGGGATTCCCAGTGATTTAAAAAAGATCCTTGAGTATGGAGGTAGATTTCAGCACTAGTTATGGGGGTTAGGTGAATTGCTTAAGTATTTTTTGACTCAGTTTTCTTATAAGGAAAATGGAGATAATAGAACCTATCTCATAAGAGTTGTCAATAAATTGGTGAGTTAAAATATCTTAAAATAGACAATCCAAATTAAGTTATAATGATTTTTAAACTGGTTTTGTTAGTAATTCTGTAATTATTATGAAATTACTATCCTTCTGGATAAAAGTAATTTGTCAAAACAATTCAAGGAAAAGTAGGATAATTTGAGTAGATCAGTAACCATGGAAGAACTTAAAAAATGTTATAAAACCTGCCCCCAGATGGGATTTTTTAAAAAAAGCTCTTTCAAACCTTTAAGGCATAGAAATTCTGGTGTGATATAAACTTCTTCAGGAAGATGTTTTTGTAGAAATAGATGGAAGGCTTCCTGATTTTGCAGAGCAGTTTTGATACCAAGAGTTTATAAAAATTTCCCAATATTGGCTCATTGATTGTGAGACATATACAGACTTACCAATGTAAGATCTTAGGGATACAACCAATTTCTAAATAAAATACCAGCAAATTGAATGCCTTTCCTCTGTAATTGGCTGCATCTCTCACCCTAAGAATGTCAAGAAATGTTTTAATGTGTTGCAACAGTAGATCAAAAGAGAAAAGTAATTTAGTCATCTGATACCAAAAAAGCCATTTGGTACTATTATTTGTTCTGATTTAAAACTCTGCATGACTAGCAGAATATTTAGTGTGTTATGGACTGACCCGACCAGCCCTTTTTAGTGGGGAAGAGCTAGGGGAAAACTTTGTGATACTATTGTTTCTACTTCACTGACCCAATGCTTGTACTTCTAGGAATCTATTCCATGAAACTATTTGCACCAGTGCAAGCTTGTTTTTCAGTGTTCTTTAAAAGAGCAAAACTTCAGAGTAACTAAATTCATAAGTTGGGGACTAGTTAAATAGATTATAGGGCATTTACAAGCTGGGATACAAATAATTTGTTAAAGTGACTGGTATATTTAAAGGTTTTTGTTTGGAAAGACTTCTCCCGCCTGGTTTGCCTAATTTTGACCTTTATTCCTGGTTTGCCTATTGAGGTTTATTCTTGCTATAGTAGTTGGCAGTAGTAGTTGGTTTATTCTCATTGCTGTTAAGTCTTCAGTTGTATGAATAACACCATGGTCTAATTACTCATTGCTTGTGTTTGAGTCAAAAAAAATTCTCAGTTTAAAAAAGTACAATTAGATAGAAATTACAACTGAAATTGGAGGTGTTTTGTAACTTGAAGTTTTTATACAGCATTGGTCTAACTTGGGAGTGCACTGTCCCATCTTATTTATCCCCTTTTTATTTCTCTGCTTTGGGCCTTTGGTGATCAGTATCTCCTCTGTGAAAGGACAGGGAAGCAGGAAAACAGATGAAACTGAATCCCTTAGTTGTGCCTCTCTTTGCTGCTATGAGTCAGGAGGGATAAAGTGAATTCGTTGTTTCCTTAAGGTGCGCTTCCCAGTAACTGTAATGCGGGTGTTCAAAACAAATCTGGAGTACAAGATCTGTAGTCCATGTCTTGTCTAGTTCACTCCATAGTTACGTGACTCAACCACAACTGAACCTTCAGAAGTGTAGATTTTCAGGCTCATATTTCACATCAATTTATTTAGATTAGATCAGTTTAACCTAAAGTCTAATTAGTAAGGCAATTGAAATGAAATGGAGAGCTATATTCAATGGGTTTGCACCACAGGTGCAGAGGTCATATCTCCCAGGGTCTCTGCTCCATGCTTCTCCAGGGCCCAATCTAGCACAGACCACTGGCATGCATTTTGGAGGCATTGCCTGAGTAAAAATCCCTTTTGAGTTTCTTTACAGAAGTGGTTAGCTCAGCCATAAAGAATGAGAAATTAGATTCATTCATAGGAAAATAGATAAATATTGAGGATATACTCCTAAGTGAAATAAATAAGTCACACATGTGTAAATACCGAATAGTTTCTCTGGTGTGAAAAGATATAATAGTATATAAGATCCTAATGAGATAATGGACAATGTGAAATAGGAAGAAAAGGCCTAAAGCTGTAGGGAAAGTGGGAAGGGTAGGGGAAAGGTAACAAGGGAAAAGAAAAAATATGAAAAAATGGAAATAAAGTGTTTGTAGATGGGGAGGAGAGGAGGGGGTGAAGGGAGGGCAGGGACAAGGGGAAAAAATGAGAACCAAGACCTGTCATGTAAAGGTACAAGATCCCAGTAATGAGTGTAACTGTACTATATACCTAAAATGTACCAATACACTCAATAAAAAAAAGAAGTGGTTAGCAATCATGTTTTCTTGCTCAGTTGTTTCCAGCATTTACTCAGTAGACTTTAAGTTGTAAAACATTCAATTCACAATTTGGAACTTTATCTAACTTTGTTTTTTATTCCTATTCACGGCCAATGTAGCCCTTCAGCTTCTAAAATCTTGTTTTAATGCTGGGGAATGTAGCTCCATTGTAGAGCATTTGCAAGGCTCTTGGTTTGATCCCCAGTACCAAAAAGGAAAAAAAAAACAACAAAAAAAGACATTCCGAATTGCTCATGGAAGGGATGGGATTGTAGCTCAGTAGTATGTAGATTGCTTGACTGGCCTACTAAGGCCACATGTTTGGGTGTGATCCCCAGTACCCAGTCCCCCCAAAAGTAAATTGTTAATGGGAGAATTCTTATTTTGTTACTCTCTAAAATCAAACCAAAACTCCAATTCAGTTTGAGGTGTCATTGTGAAAGCATATCCATATTAAGGTTATTTAGGTGGTAAGTGTGTGAAGTAACTCTTCTATGTATTGCTTTTCAGGAGTAGAAGGTTTGTCACTCTTAAGTGACTAAGCAGTCTCACAAATAACCAGCAACTTTACAGATAATTAGGCTCAACTCAGAGCAAGTGGAATTTCTCCTGGTGCACAATGTGTACCAGCTCCAATGAGGTTAATGTGGTTTGTATATTAAATAGAAGATGTCTGTGTTCTTTTCATATTGCTATATAGTTTTTTCTAAATTGAGTAATTACATACAGTGAAATGCATAGATTGTAAGTGAAGTTTTGTTATGAATTTTGACAATGATATACACAACTATGAACGTTGGGGTGCAAATGTCTTTCTGAACACATAACATTTCTTTTGAGTAAATTGAAGTTGAATTGTTAGATCATAGAATTGATATAAATTTAATTTAATGGGAATCTGCCAAATAGTTTTTCAAAGTGTTTGGGCTGTTTTTGCATATTTGTTACATTCTTCTGTGTTTCTATTAGCTGTGAAACAAAATATAGATTACTAAACTATGTAATGGTGTTTCACCATGAAACACATTTAGTCTTAATGCCACCTGGTGTTTTTCATCTTTGGAAGTAATGTTAACTACCCACCAAGAGTCATTTTTGACATAACTATGTGAAAGCACTTTGAAAAGCACAAGGGTCCATACGAGGCTAAGATGGTATTTTTAAGTAAGTACTAACGTATAGCTCAATGTCAAGTCATTTCTTTCATGTATCTTGAAACAAAAAATGCATAGCTACCAAGTTATTAGAAATTATTCCTAGAATCCATAATTGATTCTTAGAATAAACTTATTATACTTAAATTTAATGATTATTTATATCCTATATTTGTCCAAAAAAATCTTTTAACGTGATTTAGAAATTAATTTATCAAGAAAAATAAGTGCAGGGACAAGGGAAAAAAATGAGAACCAAGGTCTGTCATGTAAAGGTACAAGATCCCAATAATGAATGTAACTGTACTGTATACCTAAAATGTACCAATAAACTCAATGAGGGAAGAAAAAAAGAAAAAAAAAAAAAAGAAAAACAAGTGCTTAAGTGTTTCCTATATTGTCCACAGAGTGGCACTATTGGATTATTTAAAAATCAAAAGCCATGTAACATGCTTTTGTTCACATTCAGAAATGTTTGCTTTTAAAACAGTTTTGGTGTAGAAGACTAGTCTTTCTACCCTAACTACATGAGAGGTGAAGCTTAGTGTAGAAGGGTTAATGAGGACATAGTTTTGCAAGTATATTCATTATGTAGTCATAGTACTTACGATGGAAAAAGGTACTTTGATGCCACAAATAGGCTTCTGGAGCTTCTTGAAAGTGAAATTAAACTCCTCAACTTTTCTTTTAGTTCTGTCTTTTATCTTTCTTTTTGTTAATAAACCTTCCTCAGGCTAATATTCGAACCTCCACTTGTGGTGGTGCTGGTGGTGATCTTGGTGGTGATCTTGGTGGTGATCTTGGTGGTGCTGCTGGTGGTGACAGTGCTAGTCGTGGCAATGGTGAAGAGAGCACTATTCTTTATGCCTTTCCAGAGGATCCTCCATATGTAAGCAATATTAATTGCTGTTAAACTTTACCATTTTAAAGGAACAGTTTTGAATTCTTTATATACTATGGAGTTTCTCTAAACTCATACTTAGGAAAATACTCGTACTTTTCCCCTACTGAGTTTATATGCTTTCTTTGATAGACAATGAGCTCTTAACTGTTTTACTTCCCTCTTTTTTATGTAGTAGAAAATTCAGAATTTTATACTGAAAATCTAAAACTAGATTCTTTTTAAAAAATCAATATTTCCTTGCCTTTTTTTCTTAGTTGGCAATTATTATTTCCATCCTCATTACAGTGTGAATTTTTATTTTATCCCTGCTTTAGATTCAAGCTTTTGAAAGGTTGGTGAAAAAGAAAAACAATTTAAACAGATAAATATAAAGTGATTTTTCTCCCCTAGTACTCAGTATGTCTCTTACAGAAGTAAAGCATTAACCACTTTTAAAATATTATAGCAGCAGGAACATTTTCAACCAAACATACCACATAGTGCAGCAGCAGTGCTTCTAAGACCATTTCTGGAGCTCATTGGCCATTGTCAGGTATGAAAATTCTGTCTTTTAAATGTGGTTTTTGAAAATGTTAAAGTAAAATTTTATTTTTCTTTTCTTGAAATTTCTGTGTATTCCAAGAATTCTCAGATTGTTTTCCTGTTGGGCATGTTGGGGTCCTGTATTCAATAGTTTTGTAAGTTCATTGGCTGAATGACTGTAAAAACCATTGAAGCCGATAGTCACACCTGTTATATTTGGCTCCATGTTCTTTCCAGAGCAGAAAATTCACTGATAGTGCATAAGTCATTGCCTGGAAGGTCACTCTTTGGCCTTTTAGCAGATTTGAACATTTCTTTCCTGAAATAGCACCTTCCTTGATGTGAAATCACATCATAAATGGGATGGTACAAAGGGGCTTTGATGCCTTTGCTTCCTCCTGCCAACACCCTGTGAGTTGGAGTAGGATAGAGGCAGGACCAGCACCCTTGTCTCAGCCAGGCGGGCTCTGTGCCCCCTACACCTAGGCCTCAAGTAGGAGAGAAGTTGTTTCTGGTGCCTTGAGAACTTTGGTTGTGCCTAGCAGTTGAAATGTGGCTTAATGGCATTCTCACGTGTTACTTTTCTTTTGAAATAGGAACTAATAATACCTTTTACTATAATAGGTTATATATGATGCCATTCAACAGATAGATATGAAGTGTGCTGTTATTGAAAGAAAGGTGGCAAAAATTTACCGTGCACAAGGGAAACAGTGTTGGCACTCTACTGTAAGTAGTATTAAAATATTCTCATAGCTATGATAAGTCTCTGTTTTCTAAAGATGTCAGTCAGCTGGAACTAATATGGAACTAGTAACTGTGAAACTAGCAAGGTTGATATACTCTTGCTGTAGGAGCAAACAGGGCACTGAAACTGTTGGAAGAATACTGGTTTACATTTGGTAAATATATGACAATTGAGTATTTTTATGTTTGTACCTAAAATAAATAAGATACAATTAAGATGTAAGGTTAAAGAGGAACAAACATTAATCTTAAAATCAAAAGAGCATTTAATAATGTAGAGCAATGTTGCATAAAATATAAATCATAATGTATTGACTACTGATTTCCTTTTCTATTTACTTGTTGATCTATGCTGGGTCTGTGTCACTTTAGAATAAGCACAAAGAACAGGACGCGGATTTTGAAAGAAGCGAAGATGAGGAAATGGAGGCACTGGAGCGTCTCAATTCATTTTCGCACTCTGAAAGTTACAGCCCAACTTCACCAGTTCGCAGACCAGAAATTAATTTTGATGAAAACATAATATCACCTTTTAACTATGAAGAATCAGAGGAAATGAAGCAGGAAATAGAGGAACCCCTGCTCCAGCAGGAGCCATTCGATGGTGGTTCACCAATTCCTACCAACTGCACTGGCGATGCTCACTGCACATGCATGAGATGTGCTAGTACGCCTGGCAGCCCCAAGTTTCCTGGCAACCCCAGCATGTTGTCTGCAGAAGTTTCCATGATGTCTCATTCAGTTCCTCTGACCCGGAGAGATACTTGCCTGAAACATAGTTTGAACGAAAACAGCCTTTACGGGTGCTGGGAGAGTAAGCGTATTAGAACACCTTTCCAAAACTCAACTGGTTTTGGTGAGTTTGGAGTGATACATGTCACAAATAATACTATTTAACTTGTATTCATCAACATCTTTCTTACAAACTAATGCAAGTTGTTTGTTTCCTATTTTGAGGACTGGTTTTAGGTAACTTTTATAATGACTAACATTTATTGATTGTACATTATGTGCAAGGCAGTGTACTGAGCAACTAATATGGCTCTCCTCCACTGATATCCATAATGCCCCCATCACGTGTTTTTAATCCTCTATTTTTCTTTACCCTTTTCCCTAGATAAATAATTCTAAACACTCCTAAAATGACCACAGATAATAGGAAAGAAATGCTATGCCTTTGACTAATTCATACAAAAGGAGATAATTTGTGTTGGTGTTACTAGGTTCTAGTGAGTAACAAACCCTTCTTCTGTTATCCTCGCACGCTAACTTTGGGGAGTCCAGCTTTCTCCTGGAGTAAACGCTTACTTGTTAGGACACAGAAATGTCAGCAAAACTTAATGCACACAGCATACCTAAAACCTGCTGAGGTCTAATTATTTCATACTTCAGTTGTTTCTTTATTCAAAATATAAACCTTCAATCAGAACATCTATTACTGTGCAGTTAAACATGAAAGAGAAAATTTTTTTAAATGTTAAAGTTACTTTTGACTTAGTTCAGCAGAAAATAATCTTGTTTTCTTACACATTCAGAATAATGTGTAAGCCATGAAAGATGGGGATTTAAAGATTAAAAGTGGGGGCCGGGGATTTGGCTCAGTGGTTCCACCACCTGCCTCACAAGCACAAGGGCCCAAGTTCAATCCCGGTATAAAAAAATAAAAAATAAAGAGTAAAAGTGATGCTAAAAACATCCATATTGAATACATGGGAGAGATTTTGGAAAAGAATTAATTTGGTTTTCCAAGTTAATGGGGTTAATTGAGATTTGTTAATAAAGCGAACAAATTTAGGGCCTAGCATCCTATCATTCACAAAGTACTGAGTTCCATCCCCAACACAGCAACAACAACAAAAAAACCCAAAAAACAAAGGGACAAATGTAAGCAATTATCAAACAGTAAATTTGGGGTTTTTCCATTGTATTTGGCTGGCAAAATAAACCTAATTTATTTTGGAGAATGGAGAGAAGAAACAGAGAAATTCATTGAAACAAAGTTAACAGTAATGGGTTAGGTTAGATTAACCTAATTTAACTCAAATAACAGCTCTTTTGCTGTATTTTCCCAAAGACAAAAAGGCCTTAGATTGTGAAGTCATTTTATTTTGTTTTGTTTTTTGTAGGGTTATTTTTTTGATCTTTGAAGTTTCAAGGAAACTTCTGAAACTGCTTCTGCTGTTTGAAGATGGTCAGATGGAATGGTCTTGTACTGTTATCCCCAGATCACCTTTATATAGGTTTTCTTTAAATTTTGCAGCTGGAATCTTAAATCCTTGCTTGGATACTTAAGAAACGTTCTAGGACTGAGACTATTACTTCCTATCTAACATCTCTTCTTTCAAGATAATTATTAGGTCAAATATAATATGTCTTTTTCTCCCCACTCAAGTTACAAGCTCTCCAATTATATCTAATTCTGATGTTCTGAAACAAACCTTGCCTGAAGACCCTATGCACTGGTCGGTGGAAGATGTGATCCTGTTTCTGAACCATGCAGATCTTCAGATGTCAGACCTCCTCGCCTACCTCCTGAGGCAACATGTAATATATCTTTTGATCTGGTTTTCCTGCTGCCATAATGCCTTTGAATGGCCTCTGTGCAGGCCTTTATGTTAAGTACTGTGTTGTGTGGATGATGGGGGAACCTTACCAACTCATTTTTCCATTTGAGGGAAAGTTATTTTGTCCAATGTTAGATCCCTAAATGATAAATTAATGGTCTGTTCTTTAAATGGGTGTCCATGTACCTAGTATACTAAATCTGCTCTTTTTGTCATATATCTATACTATTTTATTCAACATCTAGTTTTTAAAATTGCATATCTTGACATAATTCATCTTAAATGTTAAATTTTTTCTTAAAATTTGAAGTGTATTTATAAGGTAACAAATGCTTCACTGTTCAGATTATATTTTAATAGTTTTTTAAAAGTAGACACATATTCAGAGGCTACACATTTGGAAAGAGCTGCTCTCTAGTTGTTTTACATGTTCTTGTAAAGAAATGGCACTGTGATCAAATGTGAAAGTATTATTAATTATTACAACTACTTTCTTTCTATAGGAAATTGATGGGAAAGCCCTTCTACTGCTCAATAATGATATGATCATAAAGTATATGGGTTTGAAGCTGGGGCCATCTCTGAAGCTATGCCACTGCATCAAAAAGCTTAAAGAAGAAAAATCCCTAAGTGCTTTCGGAAATTCACATTGAGCTTACCAATTCATTTTCTTGTTCTTAGGGTTTCTTTGGTAGAAGATTCCTCTAAAAACGTTATGTCCAGAATTGCAAAATTGTTATACTTAAGTCTACTTCTTTAAAGGCCATTTAACATGTTAGCAGTAGCATATTCAAATTGGAAGTTCATTCCTTATGTGTTATTGTTCTTTTCTGTTGTATAGTTTACGAATACATTTTATGCAAAAAAATATTTCAAGCAGTAAAACAAATAAAAACCAAAGCCAAAATCTTTGATTTGGGAGAGGAAAGACCAGGGACCGAAAACTTCTATAATTAAATCCATGAGAATTTTACCTCAGGAGAGAGCTTAAAGTTAAATCTATAGCTGTCATATCTTTCTCAAATATTCTGATACTGTAGTGTACTGTTTGTGTTCTATGAATTTCCAGAAAAGCAATAGCCATGTAAATCATTTACCTCTCTATTACTTCTTTGTATGTTTTATTTGTTCAAATATAGTAGAGAAAAGCATTTATAAACCTTCAAAAAATATTCCTACTAGTTTTTAGATAAATTGTAGGATATATAGAAGGATCATTTTATGCAAGAAATATACTGCAAGAGTAGTTTGAATGGAGTCTTATTATAATTTGTTCAGAAAAATACCTATTATTTTAAAGTTTCCATATTTTAGCTCAGTTGGACATTCAAATAAGAATTCATTGTTCACATCTTTCTAATATGATATGTATACCCCAGTTCTTAAAGTGTATGTTTTTATTGTATATGTTTATTCCTCATATGGGTACTATTTCATATTTATATTTCATTCTAAAACAAGTGTGCACACAACTAAATCTTTACTCTTTGAATTTAACATGGCACTTTGCACTGTTACAGAGAAAATGAGGAACTTTTTCTTAGTGAGTTGTTTTCATTCTTTAAAAAATATATATGCATCCTTTGCCAGCCTGGTAGCTCTCAACTTACTCTTCAGGGAATGAGAAACTATCTCTAGACTGATTTCCTTACAAGGTAGCTTTCTGCCCTATAGTGTTACTAATTAATTTGCCTAGTTCTGAGCCATTTATCCTTTTAAACTTTGGAAGATATATTAGTTCTAACTTATTGTTTTGAGCTATATTTCAGAATTTAAAATTTTTATGAGAAATATATTATTTTGTTGTTATTTATTAGTACATTGTTTAACTTGTGGAACAATACAAGCTATGAAAACTTGCTACTAGTATAAGCAATAGAATGTTCACCAGGTGCAAGAAAACAAAGTGTTTGTACAAATGCAACTATTTATGAAATACATGTGTGGTTTAAAGGATGACTTAATCTATGTTATCCATTATATAAAATGAGACTAAATTAAACAGGGTCTTCTTTCAAATTGTTAATGTGAAGATGTTGTACTATTTCTTAGGTATTTGGAAAATACTCTTTCACTCTTTTCATTTTTTAAAATATAATAAAATTAAATAACTTCAATAATTAATGCCAAAGCCTCAGATTTTATTTCACTTGATTTTATCATATTAAATTAATGAATTTTTTAAACTTGAAAAAAGCCACTCTACTAAATGTTGTGATTTCATAGTTCCAATTCTTGAGTTTTTTTTTTTCCTCATTGAGTTTATTGGTATATTTTAGATATACAGTACAGTTACATTCATCATTGGGATCTTGTACCTTTACATGACAGGTCTTGGTTCATTTGCACTTATTTAGACATGTTCTGTGAGCAAGTATGTGGTCTGTTTTGGAGAACGACTGTGTTGTTGACAGTATTTTGGATTATGTGGACATACTAGAAAATGCCAGTGCTCCCCCTTATCCCACTTCATCCCATCTAGGTTGCTATGTCTGCCTCCAAGTCTGGCTGCTTTTCTACCATTGGGTCAAGAAGCCTCCCCGATACACCTGTTGTTCCCTCTGCTTTTAGATGACCAGCTTCCATGGGGGGGCTTGGATAATCCAGGTGACACCCAAGTAGCCTTATTATCCAGCGCCCAACACCCCCACACTTACTCACCAAGGACGGCAGACATTCACTGGTGCTGCTTCCCAGCAGGGTGTCATGTGGCTGTGTCATTGGAGACAGAGGGACCCTGACTGAGTTTCAAAACATGTCAGCTTCCAGAGATGCTGCTGAATGGGCTGGGCTGGGGCTGTCTAGTGGTATGAAACTTGAGTGACTTGGTACCCCTTTCCTTTCCTATCCAGTTTGTGAAATTTTAATACAGGGACTCATATTTGCCATCCTGTGAATATTTCAGACTTTTAAAATTATCTCTATATTTGCCTCTCAGCCCATTCTTTGACCTTCTTTGACCTCATCTAGCAGAATTCTGCAACTTGAGCTCTTAGACTTTCCAGGAATACCCAGCATTTTGGTTTTTTGGCTGTGTAATTTCTCACTTTCTGAATGTCTTGTAATAGTTTATATTCTAAAGTGAGATTTCCCAAATTTAAATCCAGGCCTCCCTCTGTAAGCATAAGAATCACATGCCTTTCTGCAATATTTGAAACTTCGACTATTAAAAGTGTAATTAGGATAAATAAAAATAGTGCTTTTTCACAGCTATGGACCTATCCATGGCTTCCATTGTATTTGAAACTGACTGAGTAAATGAAATAGGTCTAAATTTCTAGGACTCTTTCTATGGCTTGGTGCCAGGAGATACTTACAAAGTCCCAGTGAGGCTGATCCAGCAAATGAGGGAGGCTGAGGTGTAGACAGAACATACAAGGAAGGGTCCTTTGGACTTCATCGTTTTAAAATTTCAGTGCTAATTAATGATAAACATTTAGACACCTTCCTAGAGAATTCTTAATATTAGCAGTTAGCTTTTTAGCACTGACAAAACACCTGTTCTTCCTGAGTGGTGACAGACAGGAAACAAGGTAGAAATAATAGATGCAAAACCATTAGGTGTAAAATATAAAACATTTCTTTGTCAGTAATACTATCAGGAATCCTGTTGAAAACATCACAAAGAATTAGAGAAGCAGATACTAGAATAAATTTCATTGTGGCAGTTCTGCAATCCTGTTGAATGAAAATACAAATATTTCAAAACATGCCAGCTTCTGGTGGTATCTGAGAGTGCTTTTCCAGAAGGAGCAGTTGGTACCCTCTCCAGAGGTGCCTCTTCACCCCTGGATCCTGATAAATTCCTCCAAGCTCCACTTTGTTTAGCATCTGGTTGTTTCAAAGTTAGAATGACTCTCTCAGTTTGGGTATTCCAGTTATTATCACACTAGGGATTTTGGCTTTTCAGGCAAGGGAATGTATTTCCTTTCTTTTTCATTCTTTTTTCCCCATAAAGTCCCTCGTGATTCACATTTGCCAGTATACTCTTTTTTCCTATTTTCAAAAGTTTTTCCCTGCCAGAAGAGTTTACTAAAATCAATATTATCCTAAATGATATCACTACCAGCTGAATTTCCATATGTCATAAAATCCAGGTTTTTACCTTGGTAGTTTACTAATTTTGTAAGATGATGGCCTTAGCATTAATTGTCCTAATTAGCCTTTGATGCATTTTTTAATTATTTGCATCACTGTTGCATGATGAGCTAGACTAGGATTGGGAATATGAAATTATGAATATATCACCCCCATCCCACCCCCAGTTTTCCTCTTGCTAAATAAAGTTCTGTAAACCTTCCAGGTAAGGTATTCTAGGAGGTAACATGATGGATTAGGCTATGCTAGGCTTCCGTTGGTGATAGCCCCAAAGATTAGTATGTCCCACAGTACACTAGCAGCTTATTTCCTGCTCATAAGCCAGAAGGCATGCTGTCATCTTCATATTAGATGAGCAAGAGGTAGATGTTTGCGGTCATAAGTCACTGGGATTTAGGACTTAACTACCACAGCCCACAGTTAGTGAAATGTAGCTGATTATGCTTCTTGACATGGTCTGTTTGTGTATTGGATGTCTTTCCCAACTAGAAGAAACTCTTTATGAGAACAGAGTTTCATTTGCTTCATTCCTACTGTCCCCACTGTCCAGATTGGCCCCTAGCACTTAGGATGGCTCAATTATTCTTTTGAGTGTGTCATACTACCAGCAATCAGATTTAGTTTGGTTTTTTGGTATCAAATGCATTCTGATCCTTTCTACAAGTACAACAGCTAGTGATATAAATTGCTATTTGGCTTTAGATTATTTTATGGTTGGTTTTGCTTCTTGTTTTACATATACATTTCCAGTCACTAAAACTATAAGGAGAACAAGTGAGTTACTGGAGAGGAGAGTGGCTTTGAAGAGAATTAAAAGCTAATTTCCAGTCATTTGGTCTAACATGATGTCTTGCTAGCAGCCATCACATCTCTCTCTTGCCTCCTCACTAAATACCTGTAAGAAAATGCAAATGATGAAAACACATGATACCCCTGAAAACTAAGGCAAGCAAGCTGTTGCTAGTCTGGGAAGTAATTCCTACTAACTCAAAGGTCATTGGTGCTAGATTGAAAGCATGCCTACATCATCCATTCTAAGATGTCCTTCCCTTCCGTTATAAAGGGAAGCACACCTGGTTTCTGAATGTTTTATAACCTGCAGCTTCTGCGGATGTCATGAAGTGCAGTCATCAGTGGCTTGGCCATGCTTCAACTCGTGGTTTCCCTTTAGGTTAACATGAATTCTAAAATGCCCAGTAAGCCCTGACCAAGAAGGGAGAGGAAACTGGTACAGTTCTTCCTGGTAGAGCTTGGGGGACTATGCATCTAGACCCTGCGGGCAAAACAGTGGAAGCCAAACAAGAGCCCTCAAGAGAGCAAAGGCTGTGCAGTATATCTTTTTTTTTTTTCTTTAATATCAGAGAACCAGGGAGTGAGGTGAGAGAAAAACGCCTCTGCACAGGTACTAAATAATAACAAGTAACTCAGCATATAAGAACAAACAAAAGGGCTAGAGATTTAGCTCAGTGGTTCTGCTGCCTGCCTCGGAAACCCAAGGACCTGAGTTCGATCCCCGGTACGGGAAAAAAAAAAAAAAAAGAATAAACAAGATAAGATCTCTGGAAGCTTACAGTCTGTCTGGGAAGACAGCATTAAAAGTACAAGGTAATGGGCTGGGGATTTGGCTCAGTGGTTCCATTGCCTGCCCTGCAAGTGCAAGGAGCCAAGTTCGATCCCCAGTACCACAAAAAACATTTCTCACTTCACTCATATTTCCATATTATATTGTATCCTATATACAGTAGATTGTATATAGGATAGATTGTAAGATCCTAGAGAAAAGAACTGGATCTTAAAATTTTTTTTAAAAGGGCCAGGGATTTAGCTCAGTGGTTCCACCGCCGGCCTCGCAAGCGCAAGGGGCTGAGTTTGATCCCCAGTACCGAAAAAAAAAAGTGAACTTCCATCAATACACATCTGTATCTCCCAGGCCCTTTTTGGGGTATCATAAATATATCTGGTGATCATTTCGTGATACAGCTTTTATCTTTTCCCCCACATGGCTAAACAATGTTTTCCTACACCATTTATTAGATCGCCTTTTCCCAAATGGTAAAACTGCTACCATTATTGTGTATTAAATACTTACAAAATATTATTATGATAAAATGCATTTGTTATTCATGTGGAACAAGATTATCCCAAAGCTTAGCAGCTTAACACAAGAAATACTTATGATCTCACATAGTCTCTGATGATTAGAAATCTGGGAGAGACTTAGCTGTGTGATGCTGACTCAGAGTCTTTATAGGAGAGCACATGTAGATACTGGCTTGAGCCGCAGCCATCTGAAGACTTGAGCAGGCCGGAGTGACCTGCTTCCAAGATGGTGCACTCATGTGTGGGTGACCAGCTCATCTCGGTTTGCCTGGGACTTTGCCAGTTTCTGCACTGAGAGTCTTAGTGTCCTAGCCGACCCCTAAGTGCCAAGACGGTTGGTCACCCAGTTCACATGCATGTTGCCTGGAAGGCTCAGCATTCCACTAGCTGTTGCCGGAAGTCCTCAGTTCTCATTGGGTTTCTCACAGCATGGCAGCTCATTCTCTCTGATAAAAGCAGTTCAAAATGGAGGCAGAATAGAGTCAGAAATGATCCAAGAGAGAAGTGGAGCCTTCCACAACTTTTTCGTACAGTTGAGCACATATTAAGCTACAAAGGACATGTGACTTACACAAACAAAATTTGTCTTCGGTAACCTACTGTCAGAAGTGATAGATGTTCACACAGATTAGTCCTGATGCACTATGGGACAGGATTACCCAAGAGTGTGAATACCATGAGGTAAGAACAATCGGGAGTAATCTTGGAGGCTGATGCCACATATGAAAATTGGTGAACTTTACTGCTAATTAAAAGAAACATAGTGAAACATGATGTATGTGATTCTTCACCTTTTACAAATTTAGCAAAGGTCAAAACCAATATTA